AAAAAAAAAAAAAATCATAAAATAATATTTCCTTCTATAAGTTATGTCTGTTAATACTTTTCTTTATCCCATAAAGCATTTGGGACTTTACAGGAAATATATGTAATAAAATAGCAAAATACAAGTGAAGAAAAAGTAAGGACTAAATAAAAAGCAGGCTTAAGGGAGAGGTGAAAACCAGGAAGGAACCAGGTCACTGATAGATACGTTGTCATCTCATAGAATTGCCAGAATTGAATTATAAATTATTCTCCAGGCCAGGCATGGTGGCTCATGCTTTAATCCTAGCACTCTGGGAGGGTGTGGCATGAAGATTGCTCGAGGCCAGTAGTTTGAGACCAGCCTGAGAAAAAAGGCAAGACCCCATCTCTACTAAAAATAGAAAAATTAGCCATGTATAGAGTGTAACATGCCTGTAGTCCCAGCTACTTGGGAGGCTGAGGCAGGAGGATCCCTTCAACCCAGGTGTTTGAGGTTGCTGTGAGCTGTGATGACACTGTCTGACTGTAACTCAGGCAGCAAAGTAAGACTCTGTCTCAAAAAAAAAAAAAAAATGCACTTCAGGTTATCTAATAAATGAAGTCACGATTAATTCTGTGATTTTCGTTGTCTGTGGAAACTGATGTATCATCAGCTCCTGGAAGCTGGCAAAGCTTTTCTTTCTCAGTATTTATCTCATAGAATTTCCTGCCTGAAGTTAACGTAGGAAACAGTGGAAGATCTCCCCGTGGGCACTATGCGAGGATATTCCTGTACCAAAGCAAAGACAGCTTTGTCTTGTAACGTTATGTCTTGGTGAAAGCTGATAGCATGTTTTTCACGTTTCTGCTTCTATTGTACTAACTTACACCTTAATTTCAGACTCAGGCTTTTTTATTAGAGAAGTTTTTGTCTTCAATTTCCCAGTGAAGATCATTCCCCCGTTGTCGTTTTATTTAGGGTAGTAATGATGTACTTTCCACAGATCTTAAAAATCCTTTCCTTTTTTAAAGCTATAATTAAGACTATTCCCAGTAGCTTTATTTATTACCTTTTAGGTTATTCAGAAGTAAAACCTAATGTAAGGCTTAGGTCTAAATGGTAGTTCAGACAGCCAGAGGTGTATATGGCGTGTGCACACCCTGACTTTACCCACTGAGGTAGAGATATGAAAGGATGGGAAGCAGGTGAGGTGGGTGATGGAGTTTTATGTTAATAGCGAATTTTGATGGCAGACAGGAAACTCTCCTGTGTGTTCATTTATAAAAATCTGATCTTAAGGCTCCACTTGGTGCTCATCTTTAGGGAAGAGTGGAAGGAAGCTGGCGAGAAGATTGAAAAAGATCTGTCTTGGGAAATGAGTCTGCCTTCTAATTGGGAAAAATATAAGCTGATTTCAGCTAGTTGAGATCTTAATAAAACACAGAATTAAATGTAATTTGAAATAGGCCCAAAACTATGTAGTTAATATCATTTTCTAAATTAGGTGAGAATATGACTATTAGCCTAAGGGTTGACTCTTTGTGTTTCAGTATTTAATAACCCCAAACCTGACAGAAGTTTTAACCAGCAATGGTCTCTAGCAGGAGTTGCAAACTCAGCAGCCAGTGGCTGTAAGAAACTAGGGTGAGAAAGAATCTGGCAAACTGGGAAGGATACGGAGGCCTGGTCCAAGGGACAGAAGTGCTGCTCGCCTGCACTTGTTTCTTTTCTTTCTTTCTTTCTTTTTTTTTTTTTTTTGAGACAGAGTCTCACTTTGTCATGCTCAGTAGAGTGCAGAGGTATCATAGCTCACAGCAACCTCATACTCTTGGGCTCAAGCAATTCTCCTGCCTCAGCCTCCCAAGTAGCTGAGACTATAGGCACCTGCCACAACACCAGCTGTTTTTAGAGACGGGGTCTCTTGCTCAGGCTGGTCTTGAATGGTGAGCTCAGGCAATCTGTCCACCTTGGCCTCCCAGACTGCTGGGATTAAAGGCATGAGCCACTTGTTTCTTGCCATGAAAGACAGAAGACTGATACTCATAAACCTAATTAAAATTAAGACATAAAGCTCTCAGGCAGGTGCAGTGGCTCCTGCCTGTAATCCTAACACTCTGGGAACCTGAGATGGTTGGATTGCTTGAACTCAGTATTTCAGGACAATCCTGAGCAAGAGCGACACCCTTGTCTCTTCTAAAAATAGAAAAACTTGTGAGGCGTTGTGGCTTGTGCCTGTAGTTCCAGCTACTTGGGAGGCTGAGGCAGGAGGATCACTTGAACCCAGGAGTCTGAGGTTGCTGTGAGCTATGACACTATGGCACTTCACCCAGGGTGACAAAGTGAGACTCTGTCTCAAAAAAAGACATAAAACTCTCTCTATGCTAACATTGTTCAGGCCACACAAAACAGAGCTGGCTTGTGAGAGTTTGAACTGCCCTCATAATACCTTTCAAGAAGGTATTCTTCCAGAATATTAACCTAACTTCAGGATATCTTTCTGGGAGCTTCCTCCCTCGTGATGTTTTTCAGCCTCCAATTTCTTTATCTGAGATACTGTGTTGGACCATCTACCTAATGCTCCCCTCTGCCTTGAGACAAGCACACATGTTTAGTTCTCTGTTTTGAAACACGTACACACGCATATCTTGTGAGCGTGGAGTGGGGATGTACTCAGCCTGACTCGGTCACTCTCGTCTAGTTACTGACCCGTGTGATTCCTTTCCCCAGATGCTGTAAATGCCTGTCTTCTCTGTTCCTTCAGCGTACATACCATTGCCGGTGCCTGCTCTTTGGGACTCCTATCACGTAGTCTGCGCCCCTGTCCCTCCACACCTGAGTGTTAGAATTTTGTGTTGTTCTGTGTTCTACTGTCACCTGATCACAGTCAGTTCCGAAACTCGCCCTTTCTCTTCAGTTCTAGTTCTGTTTGGGGAGCTGCTAAGCATTTTTCCCTGCTTGAATGTCCTGTGGCCACCTGAATCTCAGTACCTTCAAAACCAAACTTTTGTTTGCAACAAAGGAGTTACTCAGACAGAGAGGAGAGAGATTAACAAGGTAGCATATGTGTGGAAGTGTGGCAGGAGATGACAATTACATGGGGAGCAGGTTATGACTAGCAAGAGTTTGCTCAGTTCTCCTAAGGAATCTTTTTAACATGAAAGGCAGTGTGACTGTTTGGCTTGTTTTGTTTTGTTTATTTGTTTGTTTGTTTTTGAGACAGAGTCTTACTCTGCTGTCCCAGGGTAGAATGCCAAGGCATCCATAACTCACAGCAACCTCAAATTCTTGGGCTCAAGTGAGCCTCTCTATTAGCTGGGACCACCACACCTAGCTAGTTTTTCTGTTTTTAGAAGAGATTGGATCTCCCTCTTGCTCAGGCTGGTATCCAACTCCTGAGCTCAAGCAATCCACCCACTTTGGACTTGGAGAGTGCTAGGATTTATAGCCATGAGCCACCACACACACCTTCCTTGCCTTGTATTTTCGTTAAGATCAGAGACCTCAACTTTTTAAGCAACACAAGAGTTCATTAAAAATCTTGGGTAGGGTTGGATTTTGATTATAGGAATAAATTTGTAGGCTTGGTGCCCGTAGCCCAGCAGCTAGGGCTCCAGCCAAATACAACAGACCTGGCAGGTTCAAACCCAGCCTGGGCCTGCCAAACAACAGTGACAACTACAACCAAAAAATAGCTGGGCGTTGTGGTCCCAGCTACTTGGGAGGCTGAGACAAGAGAATCACTTAAGTCCAGGAGTTGGAGGTTGCTATGAGCTGTGACGCCGGTGTACTTTACCTAGGGCGATAGCTTGAGACTCTGTCTCAGGAAAAAAAAAAGAACGAATTTGTAATACAAGTATTTGAAGTGGATGAAAGGAGTGTATTGCTAGAATGTCTTGTGATATTAGAAGATATAAGGCATACACACTGTTTTATTTTTACAGCATAGCGATATAGAGAACTAGGGTTATTGGAATTCTTCAGATCTTCATTGTTTAGAGGATAAAAATATTACATGTCATTATGTACGAGTTGGAGAGGTAGAAATCGGTATTGTCCTGAGATTTTTAATATCTTTACATTTTAAATTTTGTTTTTCAGGTTTCCTTCTTCACATCATTGTGGAATCATCCATTTTTCACCATTAGCTGTATTACTCTAATAGGCTTGTTCTTTGCTGGAATACACAAGAGGGTAGTTGCACCATCAATGTATCCTTTATCATGGACTGAGTTTTACTCCTTAAATTAAAGTACTTTCTCGAGGATGTAGGTGTTTCTTAGAAGCCTACTCTTGAAATGAGAAGTTTTTCTTTGACCTCATTTATTCAGTATAGCTGCTCGATGTCGAACGGTATTATCAGAGTACAATATGTCTTGTGATGATGTAAGTAGTTTTTTTATTAAAAAGTTATATTATAGATTTACTTGAAAGAACTGAAGATTGCCTTTAGAAAAACAGGCTTTATTTATTTTTTTGAGAAAATCTTAACTCTGTTGCCCAGGCTAGAGTGTCAGCCTAGCTCACAGAAACCTCAAACTCCTGGGCTCAAGCAATCTTCCTGCCTCAGCCTCCTGAGTAGCTAGGGCTACAGGCACACACCATAATACTTGGCTAATTTTTCTAGTTTTAGTGGAGATGGGATCTTGCACTTGATCCAGGATGGTTTTAAACTCCTGAGCTCAAATGACCCTCCCAAATTGGCCTCCCAGAGTGCCAGGATTACAGGCTTAAGCCACCTTGCCCATCCTAGAGTTGACAATTTAATCTTTCTTAATGATGTAAAATCATGATGCATCTTACTATTTTTTTTTAAGACAGGGTCTTACCATATTGTCCAGGCTAGAGTCAAATTCCTGGGCTTAAGTGATCCTTCTTCAGCTTCCTAAGTAGCTGGGATTATAGGTACACACCACCATGCTTGACTAATTTTTTATAGTCATAAGATCTCATTTTCTTTCCCCCAAAGAGATGGCATTCACTGTGTTGCCTAGACTGGACTCGAACTCCTGGCCTCAAGCAATCCTCTGACTAGTTGGCCTCCCAAGTAATTGGACATACAAACATGTACCACTGCACCCAGTTAAAGCCTTTTTAAGACACAAAACAGAGACCCAGCACAGTGGCTCATGCCTGTAATCCTAACAGTCTGGGAGGTTGAGGAGGGAGGATTCTTTGACCTTAAGAGTTTGAGACCAACTTGGGCAAGAGCAAAACCTTGTCTCTTCAAAAAATAGAAAAATTAGCCAGGTGTTGTGATGGATACCTGTAGTTCCAGCTATTTGGGAGGCTGAGGCAGGAGTATCACTTCAGCCCAGGAGTTTGAGGTTGTATTAAGCCATGATGATGCCTCTGTAGTCTAGCGTAGGCAACAGCAAGACTCTATCTCAACAAACAAAACAAAAACAAAATTCCATAATGGAAAAAGTGACATACCAAAATTGACAACTTCTGCACAGCAAAAGGTAAGAAGTTAAGCTGTGATTAGCACAAGTATTTGTAAGGTATGTGTGGATCACTGTGAAAATTTTGAGACAGACTGTGTTATGGTTTATTATTTTACATCAGAGAAACAGAGTCAACAGCATCCTCAAGAAAACCAGCATGGAGGCTGAGGCAAAGGATCTCCTGAGCCAGGAGTTCAAGGATGCAGTGACCTATGACCATGCTGCTACACGCCAGCAGAACAATAGTGCAAGCCTCTGTTTCTTAAAAAAATTAAACATAGGGCTGGGTGAGGTGGCTCATGCCTGTAATCCTAGCATTCCGGGAGGCCAAGGCAGGTGGATTGCTTGAGCTCACCAGTTTGAGACCAGCGTGAACAAGAATGAGACCCCATCTCTACTAAAAATGAAAAACTGCAGCAAGAGGATCTCTTGAGCCCAGGAGTTTGAGGTTGCTATGAGCTGTGACACATGCACTCTACCAAGTGTGGCAAAGTGAGACTTGTTTCAAAAAAAAATTATAAGTCAATCAGGCAGATAATTTGAGGCTTGGCGTGGTGGTTCACATCTGTAATCGTAGTGCTCTAAGAGGCCAAGATGGGAGGATCACTTGAGGTCAGGAATTTAAGACCAGCCTGAGCAAAGTGAGACCCCATCTCCCTTAAAAATAGAAAAGTTAGGCTCAGCGCCTATAGCTCAACCGGCTAAGGCGCCAGCCACGTACACCTAAGGTGGCGGGTTCGAATCCCCAGCCCGGACCCGCCAAACAACAATGATGGCTGCAACCAAAAAATAGCCGGGCGTTGTGGCGGGCGCCTGTGGTCCCAGCCACTTGGGAGGCGGAGGCAGGAGAATCGCTTGAGCCCAGGAGTTGGAGATTGCTGTGAGCTGTAATGCCATGGCACTCTGCCCAGGGGGACAGCTTGAGGCTCTGTCTCAAAAAAAAAAAAAAAAAAATAGAAAAGTTAGCCAGGCGTGATGGCAGGTGCCCTACTATTGTGGAGGCTAACATAGGAGTATCACTTGAGCCCAGCAGTTTAAGGTTGCTCTGAGTTAGGCTGAGGCCATGTCACTCCAGCTTAGGCGACAGGGGAAGACTCTGTCTCAGGAAGGAAAAAAAGACAAATAGGATATTTAAAAAAGAGGGGAGTGCCTCGGTACCTGTGGCTCAAGCAGTTAAGGCGCCAGCCACGTAACACCTGAGCTGGCAGGTTCAAATCTAGCCCAGGCCCGTCAAACAATGATGGCTGCGAGCAAAATATAGCTGGGTGTTGCAGTGAGTGCCAGTAGTCCCCGCTACTTGGAAGGTGGAGGCAGGAGAATCGCTTGAGCTCAGGAGTTGGAGATTGCTGTGAGCTGTGATGCTATGGCACTGTAACCAGGGTGACAGCTTGAGGTTCTGTCTCAAAAAAAAAAAAAAATTTAAAGATTAAAAAAATAAAATAAAAAATGGGGAAAGGATAAGGATATGTTACAGAGGAGGAAATACAAATGGCAGTAGACATACATAAAGAGTAGGCAACCTCTTAGAATCAAGGAAATGCACAGTGAAACAGTGAGTTCCCATTTGCTTTACCTGTAAATACTCTGGCAAGTCTAGTATTGTGAAGCTGATACACTTGTACACATGGTTTGGAAAGATAAATTAGTACAGCCATTTGGTAGAGTAGGTTTTCATTCTTCTATAAAGTAAAATAGGGGTGGCGCCTGTGGCTCAGTGGGTAGGATGCCGGCCCCATATACCAAGGGTAGTGAGTTTGAACCCAGCCCCAGCTAAACTGCAAGGACAAAAAAAAAAAAAAAATAGCCAGGCGTTATGGTGGGCACCTGTTGTCTCATCTACTCAGGAGGCTGAGGCAGGAGAATTGCCTAAGCTCAGGAATTGGAGGTTGCTATGTATGAGCTGTGACATGATGGCACTCTACCAAGGGCAATAAAGTGAGATTCCGTCTCTAATAAAAATAAATAAAATGGGCATATACCAAGATCTAACTATTCTACCCTGGTTGGTTGGGACGGGTGGAGGTTAAGGGGAACCATCGTTACATACGCACACAAGGGGGCAAGTACAAGGTTGTTCATTGCAACATCCTTTACATTAGTAAAAAAATGGAAATGATCTTTGCACTTCTCAGCAGGTGATTGATAAAATAGGCTTTGGTGTCGTTGTGTCTTAGAAAGCCGGAAGTAAACCTTTATGTACATGTATACCTAATGTATGAAAGATCTCCAGGGTAAGGTGGTCGGCACACAGAACAGCAAATCACTAGACAATATGCTCGAGTTGGTTCCTTTCTTAAAAATTTTAATTACGAAAATTTGCAGGCTCGGCGCCTATAGCTCAACCGGCTAAGGCGCCAGCCACGTACACCTAAGGTGGTGGGTTCGAATCCCCAGCCCGGACCCGCCAAACAACGATGGCTGCAACCAAAAAATAGCCGGGCATTGTGGTGGGCGCCTGTGGTCCCAGCTACTTGGGAGGCAGAGGTAGGAGACTCGCTTGAGCCCAGGAGTTGGAGGTTGCTGTGAGCTGTGATGCCACGGCACTCTGCCCAGGGGGACAGCTTGAGGCTCTGTCTCAAAAAGAAAAAAAAGAAAATTTGCAAACATAATAAAGAATATAATGAACTCCATATTGCCATATTGGCCAGTATTAATAATCAGCACAGAAGAAAATAATCAGCTCACGTCTATTCTTGTTCTATATGTACCCCTGCTCAAAATAGCAAGGAATTACCAAAAATTAAACAGCCAAAATTTAAGTGAGAATTGAGAGATAACCCAAGAGTCCTGCCAATACTTTTGACCTGAGGATAAAAATAAAATACATTATTAATTACCAAAGATAATCACTATGTTTTGAATTTTGTTGTAAAAGGAAGATGTTACAGTTTTTCGAACTTGCTTCTTTGGCCCAGTGTTAGGACTTAGGGGCTGCTGGTTACTGAGTACTAACACATGCCTGCGTTATCGCAGTTGAGATCTTCCATGCTGTTGAATTGTGACTTGTTCCATTTAATGGGTCTGTCAGAATTTAATCCACTTTCGGACATAATGGCATGTCGTTTTGTTTCAGAATATCTTGTCTGTGCTCCCATTAGAACTTAAACTCCACAAAGACAGGCGTCTGTTCATTTTGTTACTGGATCTCTGGTACTTCACACAGGCCTGACAGGTGGTAGACGCTCAGTAAATACAGACTGATGCATCAGTAACGCTTCGTGTACACCCTACACTCACTTCTAGAGTCCTCCAGACAGAGTCCTAACAGTGCAGTTGCTTGGATAATGTGATTTGCACATGTTTTTTTTTTTTTTTTAATAAATGCGACTTGGCCCTACACAGGAGTTCTACTACCTCATACTGGACACTAGTAGTGTATGAGTGCCTGTTGCTCCAACCATTCGTTTACTTTTTAACCTGAGGAATGAAAACTTTTTATATTGGAAAGGAGAAATGTTTTGTTCAAATACATAGCTTTATTTATTGTTGTAAACTTTGTTTTGTAAGGAGCGTAAATCTACACAAGTCGAAATTTTATTTTATCCAGGAGATTGATGGGCTTGATTTCTAGGTAGCCAGTGAATAAAGAATCCAGAATCCAAATAAAGATGTGGGATGAGGGGCTGGATGCGGTGGCTCATGTCTATAGTCCCAGCACTTGGAGAAGCCAGGGCAGGAGGATCACTTAAAGCCAAGAATTTGAAACCAGCCTGGCAACATAGTGACAAAACTAAGAAAAATTCACCAAGGAAGATGATGTGAATCCACAGTCCCAGCTGTGTGGGAAGTGGAGGGGAGAGGGTCTCCTGAGCTTGGGAAGTGGAGGCTGCAGTGAGCTATGATCATGCCATTGCCCACAGCTAGAGTGACAAGAGTCAGGTGCTGTCTCAAAAAAGAAAGAAACTGAAAACATAATTGTTTAACCATGACTGAAGATAGAGAAATTCCTGATACCTTGTGGATGCCCTTTAAGGCTTACATGTGGGTGGTGATATTTTTCATAAAACTATTGAAAATTTTTTTTTTCCCTTTTTTACAGACAGGAAAACTAATTTTGAAACCTAGGCCTCATGTTCAATGACAATGTGCACTCATTGTTATGGGACCTAAAACAGCCTTTCTTCAAATAAGTGATACAGCAAAAAGCCATAAAGGACTCCTTTGCAGTTGGATATGTGAAGGTCGTAGCAGCAGCTGACCAGTGTGCAATATTACCCAGATTGTCTTGAGGATGACGACTCGCGTGATCAGTGCGTTGGTACCTTTGATTACCTGTGTTCAGTATTAGTGTCACTTTAGTACTTCAGATCCTGCAAAGATTTTTGCAGATGAAGTATGTATGTATGTTACTAAGTTCAACTTAGAAACAGAACCTCATTCAGTTTTTATAATGTATTTTTGCAGACTACTGTAAATAGCAAATCAATGCCAATGTTAAAGAGGAAAATGTTGTGTGGACTTTATTCTCCTGCACCAGTATTTCAGGAACATCTGCTGCCATCCCACAGCTCTGTAAGACCAGCTATTATGTGTGCCTTTCATTCCTTCACTTTCCTTTAATCATCCTGCAGGACAAACATCGGACTCACGAGGAAAACTCATCTCCCATTATGTTTTAAGAAATTACAGATGTTTTGAGAAACACTTTAGTTTAACTAGATATTGAACTCCAGCAACTATTGTGGTTATATTTTTCAGTTTATTATTTTCATTTAATACTAAATATCCTTTATATTTTTTTAATAATTTTAAGAACACCCCAAAGGTTTGTGAATGTGTGAGTTTAGTTATAAATTATGTGTTGTCTGGGAATTTTATAGTCACTGTTTTAGAGAACTGGATTGCATGCTGTGGTAGACACGCTGTTACACTGGTATTGCACAGGCGTAACTGAGCATCCTGCCCCATCACCAGAAGAACACGGGAGCCGAACCAGAAATAGTCACCAATTCTCACTGTTCAGAGAGTGTTAATGACATACTGTGTATGCATAATAGCCACATGTACTATAATAGCTATTAAAATTAAACTATTGGGATTGCTGTAAATATTTTAAGTACTGGAGGTGCCTTTTATCTGTTTATTAAAAGATTTTGAAAAGGTTTAAATTATTTCATGAGCAGTCTTTTAAATTTCATTTAACAAAGTTGAAAATTCAATAACAAGACAAAAACTTTTTTAAAGGGTGCCACTTAAACGTGTTCATCTTAGCTTTCACTTGTACAGATTTTATTCTTCAAACTGCAGCAATAAAACCCTCTGCTCCTAAGAAGTCTTAAAGAGGGCATTCTGTATTCTGCTTTTATTTTCTGTAAATTTTAGGTAAATATGTGCATACAAATAAATACTTTATATATAATCAATGATTAGGCTTTTTCTTTGGTTTATTGTGAGTTTATAACTCCGAAAATATTTTGAAACAACCTAGTTCCAGATGAAATATTTTACTTTAACTCTGTGACTAATACAGAAAATTTTCAGTGGCGATTGTAGGTGCCCAGTTTATTAGGCTATGATTACTTTTGATATATCTTACTCATGAATGTCTAATAACGTTTGACTCTTAATCAGAAAATGTAGGTTTTCTCATATTGCTTTTTATAAACTTAGAGTTCCAATTTCCTCCAAGACTATAAAGCTGAATATTTTATAGGTCTTTAATCTTTTCTAGAGTGATGTACTCTTGAGAAATAAAAGACTCGTCTCTAGAAAAATACGCCTGTGTACATTCATAGACTTAGCACACACTTGTATCACAAGGGAATTTCCTGATGCCAGACTATTTGGAATTCATTAACTCTAAGAAAACACATTCTGTTACTGTTCCAGACTTTTTATACTTTTACTTCCAGCAAAACAATTCATTTTCAAAAAAAGTCTTGGCTGAAATAACCGGAGGATCCTTGTACTATCCAGGTCTTACCACCCCCTCCACCCACTCTTAGGAAGTTACAGATTGAGTCTAATCCTCTAATTTTATAAGTGGAGAAAACAGTCTGAGATTTGCAAATGTCCGTCCTTCCTCTAGTTCCCCATGACTTATTAAAGGCAGAACTAGCATGAAAACCCAAATAGCCATCTAACTCAGAGTGAAAGGGTAATGTGTATGTTTCCGTTTATTAATTCAAGACCTGTTACAGCGTTAAGAATGTAGACGTTTAGGCCACGCTGGGTTCGAGTCTCAGATCTGCTACTGGTAGTTTTGCTATTCTAGGGAACCGTAATTTCCTGGTATTAAACAGGCACAGTGCTAATCTACTGGGAACCGGAAGGTAACGTTCAGGATACAGGGCCACACTGACCTTGCAGGTTTGTACTGAGTGTTAAAATGTTAATTCACACAAAGCACAGAAATGGTGCTGGGCTGTGGACTCAGTGCTCAAGTTTTGTTCAGTAAATTTAGTTGTTAAATCCTCAAGGTATTAAAAAAAAAAAAAACCCACAGAGGATGCTTATACTTTAAGACAGGAGTCTGCCAGCCTCATTTGCTGGTAATTTAGTAAACAACTCTTTCCTTCTCAAACCACTTGTCCTTGTTCTTACGTGGCCTTGGGGATGGATGCTGAACTCGTAGTAGCAGTTTGGCATCCCTGTGTGGGCCCACTGCTGGCCCCGTGGAATGGCACCCTGTAACCACTGGAAGAGGCAGGGAGCAGCCCTGGGTCAAAGCTGTGCATCTTCACAGACAGGAGCAACTTCTTTTCCAGCTGAGAGAGTGAGGGCCAGCCCTAGCAGCTGCCAGAGCCTGCTTAGCTCTGGGGAACTCCCTGCTCTGTCTCCCTGAAGCAGACAGCTCCCTGCAACCTGAACTGAGATGGGAAGGAAATGGATGTGGAAAGCATCTGGACACCCGGCCTCTCCTCGGGTAAGTTCCCACCCTTATGGGGGTTTTCAGACCTTGCTATTGGTTTTGTTTATTTGAGGCACCTTTTGGTGGTAGAAGTTATGAGGTTGAGTGGAACTGGTGTGAATTCAGAGCTCATTTGTGGTTCCCAAGGAATGGAAGGATTAGGCCAGCCCAGCATTTAGGAACCTTCCAGCCACTTGAGGTGGCTTTCATCGCTTTTGGATCCCCATTCGTGAGCCTCCAGGCCTGTGGTAGGGCATTTGAGGCCCCTCGGGGGGCCGTCTGGGGTGGCATTTGTTCTCTTTGGAGTCCCATTCATTCATTGGCAGGCCCTGCCACTTTTGTCTTGAGGGTCCCCTGTATCGTCTGTTCTTTTTTTATTGCAACATAAGGAAGCATCATCTCCAAGTCCCTTGGGAAAAAACTTTGGAAAGAGAATGGTGTTAAATTCACCTTTGAATGATAGGCCCAGGCATTTTAGATTCTTAGGCTTGTGAATTTTCATACCAGTTATGTGGAGTGTGAAGAAATTGGTGGTTCCAGGTGTATGGAACGTGAGAAAAAAAGCAGTGGTTGACAGTCCTTGGTTTGTTCTGAGCTGCTGGTTCTTTTCCCAACAATTTGTGGTTTGGATCCTAATTCTGATTTGGACATAGATTCTAAAGGGTCTTCTCCATTGCCGCCTCCTCCCCAAATTAGTCTCAATTGGCCTTTCTATGCTTTTGTGAAAGGGGGAACCAAACTGTCTCATTCGTAGGTATATGAGCTTTCAAAAAGAATGGGAAATAAATCCTTTAAAAATAAAAGCAGACAAGGACCCCTCTGGGCACCCTTGCTGGTTTGTGGGCTCTACTGGCTGGTGTTTGTGTGAAGGTCAAAGGCATGCAAGGGTTTCCAGGATGGCCAATTCTTGAGCACAAGTTTTTACTAAAGGGCAAATTACGTCAAGGAAAATTCTGAGCTCAAGTGGTTGACCTGCCACTCCAGACTTAAATGATGAGTCTCAAGCTCTGTGCTTGAGACAAACTCATTGTTTATGGTATGCCATTTGCTCAAGCGAATATCCTGCCTCAGCCTCCCAAGTAGCTGGGAACACAGGCGCCCGCCACAACGCTTGGCTATTTTTTTTTTTTTTTTGGTTGCAGCCATCATTGTTGTTTGGCAGGCCCAGGCTGGATTCAAACCCACCACCTTGGGTGTACGTGGTTGGTGCCTTAGCCACTTCAGCCACAGGCGTCGAGCCATGTAGTCATTTTCTGTATTCCCCTCTTCACTTCATGTTAGTAGTCAAACCTCCATTCTCTCATTTAGTAGCTCTTAGGTAAATGCCAGCAAATTCAGCAGAAGACAGTTTATTGCCATTATTACAAGCCAAACTCTGGCGTCTGCATCGTTGAAGCCTGCCTTTGTCGTTTGTAAATCTGTGCCATTCCCTGAGGCGAGTAGCTTGCCTCAGTTCCCTCATCTCTAACACGGGGACTTGAACGTTGCCTGGGACTGTTGGTCGGTTCCATGGTGATAGAAGCAAAGCTTCTAGAGCAGTGTCGTCCCGCAACAGTGAGGGATGGATAAATAGTAACTGCTCCAGTAGGGACTGGATCCCATTGTAATTATCGGTGAATCTGGGGAACTGATCAAAACAGAGATAGGTTCTGTAGGCTTTTTTTAAAAAATCGACTCTGTTGAGGTTAAAATACATATAATGAAATGCACCCATTTTAACCGTTTGATGAGGTTGAGTAAATGTGGCAATCATGTAACAGTCACTACAGGACACAGAACATGTTCAGTCCCTCAGAAGCTTCTATTGCCAAATCCCATCCCAGTCCCTGGCCCTGGGACACCACTGGCCTGCTTCTGTCACTGTGGACTGGACTTGTCTCTTCCAGTATGAGGACAGTACAATGCTCTGGTCTTCTGGCTTCTTTGGCTCAACACATTGTTGAGATTTTATATAAATTAATATGTGTGTTGGAAATCTGTTGCTTTTTGTTTATCCATTTGCCTGTTGGGCATTTGGGTTATTTTCAGTTTGGGGCTATTATTAATAAAGTTTCCATAAATAATCATGTACAAGTCTGTGTGGATATATTCACTTTTCTTGAGAACACCTTGGAGTAGAATTGCTGGGTCATAGGCCAGGTTGAATATATTAGCATTATATGAAACAGCCAAATTGCACTTCTTCCTCTCAACCCCCCACTTTTGGGACAGTGTCTTACTCAGGTGTCAGGTTCAGATTGTACAATGGTGTCACCATAGCCCATGGCAACCTTAAATTCCTGGGCTCAAATGATCTTCCTGCTTTAGCCTCCTGGTAGCTGGGACTACAGGTGGATACCTCCATGCCCAGCTAATTTTTCTTTTTCTTTTCTTTTGTAGAGACAGAAGTCTCAGTATGTTGCTCAGGCTGGTCTTGAATTTCTGGTCTCAAGAGATCCCCTCACCTCAGTTTCCCAAAGTGCTAGGATTACAGATGTAAGCCACTGCACCTGACCAAGAAACTGCCAAACTGTTTTCCAGCCATATTGTAGTCCAGCCATCAATATCTGAGTTCCAGTTGCTATATACCCACTAAAATGGCTAAAATGAGGAGGACTGACAAGTCTGACATTCACAAAGTATCAAACAACTACTTCTGTTGATTTTAGGTAAATGGGATGTTCTTGAAATACTTATTCAGCACTCTGGAAAAAAAAAATAATAATGTAGGCTAAGCACAGTAGCTCACACCTGTAATCTCAGCACTCTGGGAAGCCAAGGCAGGTGGATGGCTCTTAGAACAAATGGAATCAATAGACATATGCAGAACACACCATCCC